GGTAATGTACCTGTATTTTTCTCGGTATCCCATGAAAGAACACAAGTTTTGAAAGAACATAATTAGCAAAAAAAGAAAAAATAAAGAAACAGAAGATCTTATAAAAAAAATGATCCAGACACCTTACATCTTCGGGACAAGTAAGTTCTAAAAAGCATCAATTTAGGCCGTCATCGCTGAACTATGAGATTTCTTGGCAAAGTTTGTGATGTTGAATTACTGTAAGACTTCAAGAATGTTTTCGCTTCAAAACTAAAATGAACAGAAAAAATGTGCGACGTCTCTTGAGCGATCGCCAATTTGACGAACCAATCACAAAAGACCACATCTGTACCATAAAAGAAGTGTAACAGTTCGTTTGCAAAGTGCCACTTTGGTCAAAAAGCTGGTTAGCAGGTGGGCTGGTGCTAATCTAACGTCGTTGTTGTGGCGTCGAGGATGGCTTTTATTTCAACGTTTATTAGTATGTTGTCGGTTTATTTTTGCAGATTATTTTTGCTTTTATATTCTTTTGTGTAACAATAATTCATTGAAAATGAATTAGTTGGGAATTTCGTAGTTGTCACATATGACTGTTTTCAGGTATTTACCTTCTTAGCTCTGTTAATGCTCTGTACGATAGCCAAGATGAAGTCGTTGAGCTGACAGCCTCAAATTTTCAAAATAGAGTGATAAAAGGAGATGAGATATGGGTAGTGGAATTTTTTGCTCCATGGTAAGCTCTTTGCTAGAGTTTGATCACCTTTTGTTGCAGATTAAGAAGAATTTTGATTTTCTGATGCGCGAACCTAAAAATAGTCATTTATTATGACCTTTTTTAGGTGTGGGCACTGCAAAAATTTGGCACCAGAATATAAAAAGGCGGCCAAAGCTTTAAAAGGTCTTATAAAAGTTGGCGCTGTTGATATGACCCAGCATCAAGCTGTTGGACAGCCGTATAATGTCAGAGGGTTCCCGACTATTAAGATTTTCGGGGGTGACAAACAAAAACCAAGCGATTATCAAGGTTTCCGCTGCTTGCTTATTCAACTACTCATTTTGTTGAATGGTACCAAAAAATTTGTTGATACTTAGCATGCCTGGCGGACTTCATTTGGATTTATAATTTTGAACAATTATGGTTTTCTTCACTAAATTTTCATTTGAGAAAAAGTTTTTTTTGGTCTAGTCTTCCCTCTCGAAGTGGAAGCGAACAGTATTTAAGTTAGAGATTTATTTTTTTGCAGATGGGTCGTTGTTTATTTAGTCTTGTTGTTTTAGGAGCTCGAACGGCTCAAGCTATAGTAGATGCTGCAATTAACGAATTGAAGAAGACTGCTTCTGTACGATTAGGTGGCAAAACTGGCAGTGGCGAGAGTAAGAAAGGAAGCGGTAAGAGAGGTAGCGCAGATGATGTGATAGAGTTAACTGATAGTAACTTTGAAAGTATGGTGTTAAATAGTGACGATATCTGGCTTGTTGAGTTCTTTGCACCGTGGTGTGGGCACTGTAAAAATTTGAAGCCACATTGGGAACAAGCTGCTGCGGAACTTAAGGGGAAAGTTAAGGTACATAGATGGAGTTCTTGTTTCTTTTCAACATTATTAAACTTTTTGTACGTTTTAGCCTTTTTGTATTGTTGTTGGTTCACAGCGAAGAATATTTATTTGTTCTGTTTACGCTTCTCTAAATAACTTCTTTTTTGCTTGTTAGCATAGTTAAGTTTCTGCTGATTACTGACTGATAATGATTTAGTTGGGAGCGCTTGATGCAACCACACACCAAGTAATGGCAAGTAAATTCGGCATCAAAGGTTTTCCTACAATCAAGTATTTTGCACCAGGCTCTAGTGCTGATGACGCGGTTGATTATGATGGTGGGAGAACAAGTTCAGACATAGTACAGTGGGCCCTGAATAAGGTATTTCACGAGTCTTTCAACTTTTTTCAGCTTGTTTGCACAAGGCTGTTTTTGTTGTTATCCTGGCACTTTATTTTTTTCAGTGTTTTTTGTTATATTTTCATTCTAGAACGTTCTTGAGTAAAATACCAAACTTCTTTTAGGTAGCTGAAAATGTGCCTGCACCAGAGGTTGTTGAGGCGACTTCACAAGAAGTTGTCGAAAAAGCTTGTAAGGAAGCACAGTTATGTGTCATTTCGGTATTGCCGCACATATTAGATTGTCAAAGCAAGTGTAGAAACGATTATATCCAGGTACTTATATACTTTTTAAATCATAACAGTGGTATATAGGAGTTTCTTTGAAGCAGTGAAATATTTAACCTATTAGGTTTAATAGCTTGCAGTTTTTTGGAAAAAAATTATTTTTTCAGATTTTGAAAGAACTTGCAGAGAAGTTTAAAAGAAACCTTTGGGGATGGGTGTGGACTGAAGCAGGAAAACAGCCTGCCCTTGAAGAAGCTTTTGGTATGGGCGGGTTTGGATACCCGGCTATGGCTGCATTAAATTATCGTAAGATGAAGTTTGCGATGTTGAAGGTTAGTTAATGCTTTAAACCTTTTTTTTTTTGCTTTTTTGGTTTTCTAGGTTATGATTTGTCATTTCATCTTCTTAGACTGTTCAAGTTCAACTAGGTAGTTGTATGTTGTTTTTTAGGGTTCATTTAGTAAGGATGGAATACATGAGTTTTTGCGAGATCTTTCTTATGGTAAGGGGCAAACTGCTCCAGTGAAAGGAGCCGAATTTCCAAAACTTAAGAAAGTAGAACCTTGGGATGGCAAAGACGGTGAGATGCCTGTCGATGAAGATATTGATCTTTCTGACGTTGAGTTAGAAGATCTCGAACCTGAAACGAAGGAGAAAGGAAAGACTGAATTGTAATAATTTGTTTTATGTAAAATAAATTTGGTATTCGAAATTATTAAAAACACCTTTCCTCGCGGGAATTCTTGTGTGGTTCTTAAATTTATTCTTTCCTTTTGCGAAGGGTTAAGAAGTTGTGTTTTTAAGTATCTAGGTTGCAAATTTTCTGCGCATTCACGGTGCGTTCATGTTGTATAGTTGTGCCTCAAAGTTTGCAAGTCTCTGTGCTTTGCTGTTGAGCATTGGTTATAACATTTACCTGGTTTGTTTTCTGAGAGTTGTTTTAGATGCGCTGACGTGTTTTAACAAATTGAATAGTGGTTTTGTCTACTTTTCAGGTTTGTATGGCGTAATTGTTAATTTATGGTTATTGTTTTGTACGTTTTAGTAATTTATTTTTCTTAGCTCAAGCATTGTATCTCATTTTGGCTTTGGTGTAAGTTACATTGTTTCTTTCGTTATCATCTTGTCCTCTTTTAGGACTTGTTATTGTTCCTTGATGTATAAAAGGTTGCTTTGTTTACCACCAACCTTTGCACTCAAATAACTTGTAGAACTAGATTTGAGTTCCGCTTGAGGGTTGAGTCTGCGTTAACAAGTTTTAAAATTGAAATACTTCAGCAATAAATAAGGTGAGCATGTGCCCACAAGTTGACTAGTTTTATGAGATATGGAGGTGTAACGGTGTTCTTTAGAAAACTGCGTGGATTTCGACAGCACAAAGTTGCGCCTTAGTGGACTTTGATTTTGGTTCAGTAGAGGAGTTGAGGGAGGGCTTTGATTTGTATCTTTATTCTGAGTAACGCTTTTCTGGTGAAGGGACTGTTTCACGTTTTAAGGAATGTTGGGAAGAAGAAATACCATTTTTCAACAACTTTTTGCATATTTTTTGTAGTACTGAAACAAAATGTTGAGTATTGAAGTGGTCAGCATTGAGTGTCTGACTGTGCATGTCTGTACCATCTCGGCATTACGTTGACATCGAGTTGAATCTTGGACCCATCATTTAGAATTGCGGCCTTGGCCGGTAAGGCAAACAAAGCTTAACGGCGAAAAGTATCGCCGTCGATCCATTTTAATTCTTTCTTTGCCAACTTTACCGACAGATTTCACAGCATTCTCTATGCTGGCCAATAACAATTTTTGAACTTTATTATTTGTATTGAAAGGTTTCTAGAAAATATGATTTTTAATTACTTTAAGTTAAAAACGAAAAGAAATTAGGCATAAAAATTAAGCAAAACTGTCATATTCGCTCTTATTTTTTGATTTCTTTTTTAACTAATTTTTTGACCATTTAATTCATTTTTTAATTTCACAGAGCATCCAAATCGTTTGCGATTACTAACAAAACAAGTTTAATTTTTTCAAGCAAATTAACGGATTGAGATGTACACTTGTGGGTTTCAATAAAAAGTCTTAGATGGTCTGACCAACAGGCCAGGAGACAGAAATAAGTACTAAATGAATTAAAGAAAACCACTTCCAGGTAAATGACAGTTATAGCGGCTTGATAAAGTCTCAAGAAAATTTTAATTACTCCAATTTATTTGAATATTATACGAGTCGAGGAAGAGGTACAGTTGTTAGTGTGAAATTCTTCTGTTATCGATGAAAACTTTTTTGTTTTGGTGTCCGGTATATGTGTAGTTTAATTTTTAGACGAATAGACGACGCAACTTTCAACTAATATCGTTTAACTGATCACTGCTTTGAAGGAACCTTTCGTATATAAACTGCTACTTCCTTTTCAGTTAAAGAGAACAGTAGTAATGAAATTTTGCGAAATAGGGGTTAAAAAACATTGATCATTTTCAATTTGCTTTTTTGAGCTTAACATTCCGCTGTTATATCCTTTTTTTTTTTTTTTTTTTCGGAAAACAATTTGCTTAATTTTTAAAGTATTTTGTGTAATCTGTATATTATGATTTTAAGATGTGATTCGTATGTAAAAATTAAATTTTTATTACCACTGGTACTGAACTATTTTGAAAGACTTGGAACATTTAAATAATTTTAATTCTTCGAGGAATCGTAGTTTTGAGTAGTTTCTATTCATTTGAGCTGAAAATTTAAAGCACACTTGTGCCTTCAATTTCTGGCTTTTTTGCTCATTAAACTGCAGCACTGGGTTTACAAAACAAAGAACTTTATTTGCGAAACGACGTCATTTGAGAACGATGTAAACTACAAAAGTTGACTTTTACCTTAACTTAGTGGAAGTTTGGGATATCTCATTTTAAACAGTCCAGAATGATATCAAATAACTTTTAATTTTTCAACAGCATGTTTCTTACGTCTAAAGAATTTTCTCATCTGAAAAGTAATCTAGCTCTTGAGTTGACAGACCTTTAACTGTTGCTTCAAAAGTGTTCTGTTCAAAATTCTCGTTTTCCTGGATTTATGTAGTGTAAAAGCTATACAATTTTGCACTGATAATTTGCTAGATATGAGGAAAAGAAAAAACTAAAGTTGAAGAAACTTTAAACGCGGTATGGCATGTATTTATAAAATTTGAGCTTTGTTTCTGTATCTTAAAAGCTTGTAGGATGAGGAAAATTCTTGGAGAAAAATTTTAATTTTCTCATCGGTATAAATCGATGGAAGTCAGTTTATCGGCTAGAAAACAACGGCTCAGTAGTTTCTTTAACACTTCTTTATTCTTCAGTTTTACATTCTTTCCTTTTTGCATTACTGCGACAGAGCAGACATATAAAAGCCAAAAATAAATCTATTACTAGCTTGAGTAATAGAGCTGCTGTTAGTCTGCAAAACTGATCCTTTGTATGCGTCAAAAAACAATTAATTTGAAGTACCTGAGGTTATAATTAATTAATTTAGGAAATTAATTGGCTGCTAAATAGCAATGTTTTCAACAATTTCTTCAATGAAATACTTCAATGGTACACTTGGTTGAGAAATTAATCTTTGACAAACATTTTTTTACAACAAAGAAAATCAAGTGGATAGATCGCTGTATAGTACGCACCTTGATGGTTTAAATTGAATTTGCCTTAAAAAGGGAAAGTTCTAAATGCAGTGGACCGACTACCAGAGGCTATACAGAAATCAAAAATCAATTAGTGCTTGTACCTCCGATCCTACTCAGAGATTTCGAATCTGTTGCGTCATTGTATACATCCGTAGTTTTTGATCTTTGTCTGAAATTCTTTCAATTTGGATTTGTTATTTCGCTAAAATATACAGTTGTTTTGAATTAATCTGTTGCAATACGTATAAATCGTGTCACATAACATTAACTTTTTCTGAAATAAAAAGCCTTTCGAAAGTAAAGGTTATTGCTGAATTAAGCAACGAAGAAATATCGCAGATATCCATTAGCATAACCTAACTTTGTTGATCAGTCTCACCGTTACGTAATTAAACTGAAAACTTTAGCCGCCTATTTATAGCTGCATAACCAGAAGTGAGACTTCTTAGGTGAGCTGTAAACGCTGTAATAAGAAGATTTTCTATCAGTTACTTTACCTATCCTCACAACTCATTCTCTGTGCATTAGGCTAGAATAGGCAAAGAAGTGGTATGGTTCCAGAATTTTTGATGATTAAATGCTATATCGATTTTGATCTCTGACTAATATCTTTTGATTTCTTGTTCAAAGTTGGTGCGTACGCATTTTCTCAGATTACTTTTTATCAGGTTTGAGCAACTATTTAGTCACAATAAGCCCCGTAACCTTGTCAATGAAAAGTTTGTAAAAGTGACTTTTATTTATTCTTACGTGCAGATGACTTTAAGTATAATCATACGCTTTTTAAATAATTTTTACCTCTAGACTTGAAGCACTTTTCAGTTCATTCAGTAGTTGGCCTAACAGACTATGAAAGGAAGCAATTTGAGATTTATAGGTAGAAGTAACATGAGGTATAATACAAAGGTTTCAAGCCTCAATTTTGATGCGGTCTAATTCATTTCTTTTAGTTACGAGAATTTTACAACAGCGATTTATTTTTTTCATTCGATTCTTTTCTGAAGATTACTGTGGCTTGGAATTCTGCTTCTGCGCAGGCTCTTATTTTTTCCTCTATCTTGAATTTTACTCATGCGCTTAACAGCCCAGAAATTGGAGATTTTTTTAATTTTTTTTTAAGAATTTTAATATTTCATTCGTTGTTTTACATTTTGTCCATTTTTTCCGTTTTAATCCATTTTTTTTAAATCGTTTTGCAGCGTAATGAAAGTTCCGGTCATTCTGCTATTACGCTTTGATTTCAAGCGGATGAACAGAAGACAGTTTTATGCAATTTGTTCATTCCAGTAGTTGTCCAAATATACTTTTGTAAAAATGTTACGTATTTTTCTCAGCTTAAATGTCTACTTATGTCGAGCATCAGTAGTTTTAAAAAAATTTATATCTTTGACGGTAGATTTAAGACTTGCTAGCTTTTGTAATGGCGAAACGTAACTGTCTCGCAGTAGTGGGATGGCACGTATTGGTAGAAAAGATTCTATACACCGCTGAACAAGGTGACTATACTACTCGCCATAGAAACCTAGAAGGGACATCAGTTATACATATATATATATATATTTTTTTTTT